AATTGTATAAGTCTCAAATGACGGCATTGATTGAAAGTTTTGTGTTTTCTATGTAGTATGAATGTTTTGAAAAAATTTTTCGATAACAAATTTGGGCACGAAATTAAGTATGGTGACAGAAAAAGTATGGCAGATGCTGAGAAATATTAATTTCGGAGTCAATCGTTGTTTCTGTGTCATAATCATTGTTAAATTGCATGCGAACGTCCAACGTTTGAAAAATATTTACTAGTTTAAAAAAAACGGCACTGTTTCCTAAAACACTGTAAAGTACTGATTCATTGCTCCATAACTCTATTCCAGCGTTAACTAAAGGCGACCTAGTCGGGAACGCTGTTTCCATTACATACATTTCATTACAAAAAATTCAAATTTTTTCAAATTCACTTCATAAATATGACTTTTTTAAATAACTCTACGGCAGCGCCATCTAGCGGCACTTATAATTTAATCTAATCTGTTGTATATACCTATATAGGTATATAGTTAAGTTTTATCAACATTTTTATATATAAAACTGAAATAAATTTCAAAAACAATGCAAATCCACCATTTCAGTTTTCCATGTGATAGTTATTCCCCCAAATTGTCACACTTTGTTTTGACTGCTGTCATGACGCTTGCAAATATTTATTTACAATTAATTATAATTTTTCTTGCTTGCTTAGGGATTATGTTGCATACCCTGCTTGCCACACTCCACGAAATGAAATTGTTATTTCATCGCTCTACCCACAAAATAAATTGTAAATATTGTGTATGAGTTTTCGAAATTTGATAATGGTCAATTTTCTGTATCACACCTGTATTAAAATTTTTGTTTTAGAAATTTTCCGTTTGTGTGAATATTTTATCACACACTAAAAATTTTATGAGCGCAAAAAACACCAGCATTTCTAACTAGTTGTAGTTTAAATAAATATTTAGTTATTTAGCTCTAATATTGGCACAGCGTTCGCTTGTATAACAATAGCAGCGCATAAGTGTGCTGGTGCGACATGACGTATGAGTGACATATTCATTTTGGAATAAAATAAATTGTTTCGATTTATTCGTAATTTTGTAGCGCGTGTGTTAAGCGTGTTAACAAACTAAAAATGTATGTGAATACTCACACATATATATATACACTTATTTAAGCAACTGCTTACATATGCATACATATATACATATGCATATAGCTAACAAATATTAGGAAAACATATTTCTTATTTTGGTTGCTACTGTATTTATACATTTTTATTTATAACATCATGTAAAGCTATATATAAGCATATATATGGTAATATATCGACATATTTGTGTGTTCAAGTGTTTTCTAAAAGCTTTTTAAGTAAGCTGCACGCAATCGAAAATGTATTGCGGGTAATTTGCCAACACGCATGTGTTTCTGCTGTTTTATTTGCTTTGTGCTCTCTAAATCGCTCAAAAAACTCTAACAATTGTTTTATACATGCAGCTCTGCACTCACACACATACCGACACATGTAAACTTTTGTTATTATATTGTGCAATAAAACAAAATTAATTGAATTTACACATTTTGCGGATGTAATCCATTGACTACTGTTGTAATCTGCGAAATGTGAATGGAATATGTGCGCATACATTATGTATAAATATATTACAGCCCGCTTATGCAATTAAAATATTTGATTTATCAGCAAATTAGAAAGGCAGTAGAATTTTTAAAATTAAAACTAAAATCTTTTGTTCGTGAATTTTTGCATTATTGTTAGACAAATATATACATATATATTTATAATTATAATTTTAATAAAAGAAGTCAATATTACTGTTTCATTAAATCTATTGTTTGGAGACCAATCACTTGCTTTGATGTATTTTTGGTAATTCTTCATGCATTCTTATTATAATTTTTTTTAGTAAATTTTAATATTTTTATATATTAAACTTTATCAATTGTTTATAATTTTAAATATATGTATACTATTTTAAGAATACACAGTAAAATTGGTGAGGAAAGCAAATGAAATATTTTTCGAGCTACATCCGATCTACGACGACGCTAGTAAAAGGTCCTCAACTGCTGCAGTGATTTCATTATCTTCTTGGATGAAACCTAAAAAAATTTTTGTATATTATAAAGTATAACCTATCGAATTATAAAAATTGAAATTGAAAAAATTTAAATTTCATACTAACTCCCTAATCTGTTTTTGTGTAACTAGTAACTTGTGCCCTCTATAGGTAATTTGAGTAAAAACTAAGATATCTTGGGTACTTGCTACATATGTTTCTTGGCACCCAAAGGGCGTTAGTATTACAGAAACGCTATTAATCGAAAATCTATAAAGTGCAATAAATATGCTCCACAATAAGATATGTATGTACAAAGCTGCTATTTTGTACAACCAATTTCATTAAGGAAGGAAAATGTCGGTCAACCTGTTCTATATGTTATTGAAATTCGAAAATAATTTTCCCCAACTTTGATACTTGCAAGTATCATAATGTATAAAATGTTCAGTTACACCCGAATTTAGCTCTTTCTTACTTAATTTTTGTTGTCATTTTTATATTTTTAATCCTTGCTTTTATTTGAAATATTTTTGTACATACAGTTCATGTGTTCGAAGTTTTATTTTTAATTTTTATTTTTTGTTTAAATTTTTTTTATTTTTTTTAAATCGTGTTTTTTTTTTGTAATTTAAACATTTTTTTAAATTAATTTAATTTTTAATTTTTTACATTCTTGTTTTTAAATTTTTAAACTAATATGTGTTTTCATTTCTTTTATTATGTATTTACTTTTTATTATTTTTATTATGTTGTTTTTTTCAATATTTAATTCAATTTTCAAACGTTTATATGTAGCGGCACTTTAAAGATATTTATGTAAACTTTCAAAAAGTTCTTAAAAGTGCTTTTGTTTTGCAAATATTGCATTAACCAATCAGTATATGTGGTAACAAGCGAAGTTTTAGTAAACTGCAAAAGATGTTCATGAAATAATCAATTTTAACTGTTACTCGTCCATGGTACCGCCTTTCTTCTAAGCCTATAACGATAATCTGTCATATATAGTACTTAACCTCCCACATTTACCGGCAATAGTAGTCGTGTATAGTAGCTTATACAAAGTATGAAATTTCATCATTTAATTTGTTTTCATTTAAAACTTTAGAAAAATTACGCATCCCACTTCGTCTATGCAAACCAACTCAAGTTAATTAAATTGCGAGCCTCCCTACTCCGTGGCAACACACGCGCAGTGAAACTATGACTGAAGATTCGAAAATAAGATAAATGTCCATTGGAATTGGAATTCGCAAGGAGTGCGCACATTTGCAATTTATGTTTCACGCACTGCTGCGTAAGCGATGCGAATGAACTTCCACGAAAATTTAATGAATGCATGCATTTGCTTTAACGGCTAGAGTTGCCACTGTGAGATATTTAAAAATAAAATTTTACGAATTTTCTAAAATGAAATGCTGTATATAAAGTAAAAAATGCTCTGAAAAAGATGTGTTGAAGTTTAAGTTTCAAATTTAATACTGAGTTAAAATTTATTGTAAATTAAAAGTTTTTTCATATAAAAGTGGTCGTAGTGGATTGTGTTTCATGATAGGCAGATCTTATGTTCAGAATAAGTAATAAAATTCATAAAAAATATATTTCCCATACCCTTAGCTTGCTTTTGAAAAAATAAATATTTGTTTTTTGGCTTTATATTAAACCAACCATATAGTTAGGTATACTTAATTTTTATAAATAAAATATTTAAAAAAATTCATTTTTTATAGTGTTTTGCGTGAAATTTTTTATCTTGTCAGATAAATTCATTTCATATCGCTAAATCTACGATTTAGTTCTTCAATGGCTCAACGAGTAGATAAACTGACTTTTAACGGTTTATTTTTAAAAATGAAAAAAACTAAAAATTGTTACGCATCTAAAACTGATTTGTTAAAACATTTTCAATCAATGAGAGTTATATGATGATGATGATAACGGTGTATAAATGTGATTTTGGTAATAGTTCGACACTAGCGTCATCTGCCGGACTCAAATTTCTCATCGACACACCAAATTTCTGTAATACTATTGTGATAATTTCAGCGAAATCGCTTCGTTTGTTATGTAATAAATTTTACAGAATTTTTTTTTAAACAAAACTTGATTTTCTTATATGTAAATGTATTCCATTTTTTTTTAAACAAATTTTTGTTTTCTATATTATATTATTATTTTCTAAATATATATCTAAAGCTTTATATCGCTTTATCGTCACTATTATCACAAATTTCACTTCCGTTATATTTTAAAATTTTTTGCGTTTTTAGCATACATTCGTGTTAACTAAATCACATACACTACAATTTACAACATTATAATATTACAAGAATTACAACAACAATTACAACGACCGCAAATCAAAAAGGCGCGCACACGTAAAGGTGCAACTTGATTGCCGCCTTTGTTTTTGTTTTTATAGCATTTTGTTGTTGTTGCCACACAGCTGTTGCACGCTCATCAGCGTGTTTTTTATCTTTCATCTAATGTCGCTAAATATTTTCGTATTGAATTCGAAGGCAAAAAGTCAAATACGAACAACAACAACAACAGCAGCAACACTTGCGACACTTTTTACTTGCATTTCTGTTTTTTTTTTCTAACTATATATTTTTTATTTGCGCAAAAACATGTAGCAACGCAATGTGCCGCCCTTTGCAGCCGCGACGAGGTGCAGACTGACGCTCACTAATTTCACTTACATTTAATAAATTGCGAATTCGAATTTCAAATGAAGAAGTAAATTTGCACTAATAAAGCAATGCGAAGCGCACAAATGCAACAACTGTCAAACGGCAAAACGTCTGGGCGGGGACGCAACGACTAACAGGGCTGCATTGCGGCGGCTGGCGGAGGCTGATGCCGAGCGCGACGTGCGGCGCACTTTTAATTATCTGCATTAATATTTATTTATAACGTTTTTGATACTTGGGATGATTTGTGTTTTCTGGCGGTTTTTCTTATTTTTTTTAAATGAAAAAAAAAAAAAAAAAAATTTTTTTTTTGTTCTAATTTTTTTTTTTATAATTTTATTTAAACATTTTTTTTTTGTTTTATTTTAAATTTTTTTTTTAATTGTATTTTTTTTGATGTCTTTGCCTTTTAGATATCATCTAATAATAACGCAACGTTTTGATGATTTTTTATGGGCAACTGAAAATGCCGTGGCGGTGCGGCAGCTGCGCTACCTGCAACACCGACACTTCGCGCGCGTTTGTGTCAGACGGGAACAGTTGGCGCTGCCAGTTTCCCAAGGCGCTATGCAACGCTGGTCCACGGCGGCTGAGAATTCGCTGTCTGTCCCTGCTTTTCGTGCTTGTTGTGGACATTGTCGCTGCTGCTGTTGTTATTTTTGTTGCAATACAAACTGTTAGCTGTGATCTGCTGGCTGTTGCCACTAATTGCCAATTTGATCACTCAATGTTTGAACGAATTTTCACTTAGTTTTAGTTGCATTTTGCATCTGCAACATTCTCATTGCGGCAATTAGTAATATTTTCGTTGCACACGCGCGCGCATATCAAAGAAATTTATTTAGTTTTTGTTTCTCACAATTTCAGTAAAATATTTAATTTATGTGTGTGTGTGTTCGTTTCGCCTGATTCGTTACGGCCCATTTATTTAATTGTGCCACAATTAGTGCTTAATTGTTGCAGTAATTTAGTCGGTGTTACGATTTTTACTCTCCCGTCTACCGTGCTCCGCTCTTCGAGTGACGTGCGTTTAAAATGTTCGATCCCAAATATAGTTTCAAAAGACGGCCGGCCGATGTGTTTCAACTTATGTATCCCAGTTATTTTCGTAAGCGTAATTATAACAACAACGATTCGTATGCACGATTACCGGGACCACGTCCGACCATCTATCGGCGGCGTTTTGTGAGAGTAAGTGTTGGATTCCAACTAAATAGAATTATATCATAATACAAGCATTAATTATAGATAGATTTAGAAATTTAAAGTATGTGGGGAGAATTGTTAAATTTAAATATTATTTTTTTCACGCTTTGAGAAAATTGAAAATATGGCGAATAATTACTTTGAGGAAAATTTTTATTTTCAATAGCATAACAAAGAAGAAATACTTTTTGCAAAACAATTTTTATTTTTTATTTAGTCTTATGCAATCTTTGTTTAGAGCTCTCAAAAATAAAATCTAAAAATCAATAAGGGTGTTCTTTTCAGACATGTACAAGCGACTTCACTTAACCCCAAAAATAGTCCAGCCAATGTTGCCTTCAATAAAGTGATTGTTTCGTTGGCTGTATTCCAAGTAGTGTTGTCTTGTTGGAACCAAAGTTGGTGCACATCAACATACTTCAATCCAGGCACGAAAAAGTGATTAATCATGGCTCTATAGCGTTCCTCATCGACTGTAATATTTGCTTGTTTAGGTTAATTATGTAATTTTTACACAGGTGGCAATATCAATGTACTTCAATTGTAATTGTTTTAAAACGAAAAACTTTTACAACTATTAAAATTTTATATAAATTTCATCATTAATCACTTTAATTTAACTTTTTAGAAAGGTGAAAACTCTATATACTTAGTCCTGCCATAATTTCTGTTACAAGTTTAGGCTATTATAAAAATTAAATTATAATACATTTTTGATAAACTTACTTTTAATTAAAAATGCGCATATTAGATGATTGTTGAACAAAATTTTAGTCGAAATGGTTACCATTTGCTTTCACACAAGCTCTCAAACGATTCGACCATTGATCAAAAGCAGTACGCACAGCTTCTATTGGTATTGATGAAGCTGCTCGAGCCAAAGATTTTTTGAGACTCGCCAAATTTTTATGGGGTATTCGCCAGGCCATGTTCTCTTAGCCTGACCATCAACTTTAGTCCAATGAATGCATATCTAGACTTCCAGACAACTAGTGATCTGCAGCTATGAAACCAGGAATATTGCTTTTAAGCCACTGGGTTATTTTGCCTTGTGTGCTGGAGCAGAAACGTGCCGAAAGATTAAATACGTTTCATCGACGAGAGCATTGCTTAACTTTTTAACTACGCCTTCTTAATCATTCCGCTGGTACACTTTTGCCCTAGTTTAACCTCTTTTTCGCAGAAGTGAAGAGTTGTAATGTCTTTACTGGAGACTGCACAGCAAACCATTACAGCAGCTGAATGGCGACCACATTGAATCCTTCGAATAGCATTTTTTGCGCCTTTGGCAATAAAATCTACTTTTTTTATTATAACAAAAAAGCTTTTTTAATAAAGCTTCTGTTTGACTGTGATGAAAATTTTTCACATAAAGAATGTATGGTCTGCCAATAATGATAAGCAATTGTTCCAGCGGCTTTTTCACACAGCATTTCCACACATTTTTACTTCAGCATCATAAAATTTTCGAGCAAAAAACCAAAGCTTAAACAAAGCTATGTATTCAGTGCTTTGCTTTCATTATTATTCCTACACTATTTGTGTATATTTTTTGTTTTTCCCATAAACTGACGCTTACATTTTTTAACCCTTGCGCTACCCACGAATTTATTATGGCAATTATAATTTTAATTTATTTTAAATTTCCAAACATAACTTTAGTTACGACTCAATTATGGATAAATGCGCTTTTTACGCCATTTGCAATCTTCACACTTTTGGCCTTGTTTACTGCCATTTTTCGACGCGTTTCCTTCAGCACCGCACGTTGCGCATCATGCAACGGCGCTTTACGTGCAAACGACATTTAAATTTTGATTAAACAAACAAAAGAGATTTTTCGCCACGTTGCCGCGCTTGAAAGCGACAAAAATGCCCGTGAAACGAGAAAGGACGTTGAAAGACAGGCTTCGCAGTCGACCGCCCGGAGTGAAAGTGGTTTTTTTTTTTGATTTGCTGCGTCGGTCGAGGGAACGACAAGACAACGACAGGAAAGATAGAGCGAGAGGGGGCGCTGTGCTGCGGCCGGCGATCGCTTTGTCGGTTTAGCAGCTTGCATGCGAACTATCTATCTGTCCGTGGTATGAACTTGCACACACACAAATACTCGCAAACTGGCTTTTTGCCTTCACGCGCGCCGCTGCATCACCCAGCTCACATCCTGTTTGAGTTTTACCTGAAAAAAGTGCACACTGTGTGCATGACAAAGGCTGATTTATAAAGTTGCAGCCATGTTGCACGTTCGCCACTTGTTAGCGTACGCCTTTTTCCATTTTCATAACTTGCAAATACAATTCATACATTCATAACTTTGTACAAGGGTGAGGTGTATGCTGTTGCGTGGTGGAGGGTGGGGAATTGAAAAGTTTCTTTAGCACCAAATAAATGGCAAGCAGTCGAGTGTTTTGGCGGGGAAGCATGCATGTTGCAAGTTATTGCGCGGCAAAATAGTAACGAAATGACTGTGCCAAATTCGCTTAGCACAACAACAACGGCAAAGACAAGCAAGCGCGTGCTTTGTTCGACTGTCATAATTCAGCGAACCCTGGCAGTAGCGCGTGCAACGGAAGTGCACACCGCAGTTGCACACATGAGTTGGGCTTAGCACCCGGTGGCACAATAAACGAAATTTTTGGCATGTTTTTTTAAATATTTTTTCGCGCTTTCATTTCAGTTTTATAAATTTTCATTTTTTGCAATTTTTTTTTAAATGTAATTTTTTGTGTTTTTTTGGCGGTTGTGTTGCTCCAGCCAACTTAGCGCGTTGTTTTGTAGAATGGCAATGTTGCCGAAATGCATAAGTGCCGTGTTGCCTGCATTCTGCGCGATTTTCTCACTGGGCGTTGATTTATACGCCGCACACTCGTAAAGTTAATGACTCACACGCAAGCCAACCCAAAGCGGTCTTCCGGTTTTGGGAGCGTGTGGTGTGAGCTTAAGAGTTTGTTAATAGCTCGCAGCTCCTTGATAACTGTGGGTGTTACCAGCTGCGGCGTTCTTCGGCCGCTTCCACTTGTTCTTTGGTTTAGCTGATTTAATCTACATAATAAACTGGCGATAATTTAACTTTGTCAATGAAAACATATGTGAGTTTCCGCAGCAAATGCGCTCTCAAACTCCAAAAATTATTATTTTTATTTTTAAATTATTTTTTTATGATTTTCGTCAAAGTTTTGCACCCTCGCTAATATGAAATGATTTTAATTTACGACAAGCTTGTTATTTTCCATAAAAGGCGATCGTTTAGCAACCGAAATTGCAAATTCATACTCGAAATCTAAAACTAGCGCACGTTTTGAAGTGTTTTCGAAGCGTACGTCCCTCCCACCTGCTTTGACAACTCTTACAGCGGTTCTTTGTTGTCGTACTACTTCTGGCAAGTCATTCTTGCTGCAATCGAGGGCGTCGTTTAGTGCTCAGTGTTGCATGGCATTGTTTATTTGCAATAATTTCATTTGCGTGAAGGCAATCAAATGCACAATTTATCGCTTAGTTTTTGATTAGCTTTAA